GGCTTTGCTGCACAACAACAGCCCCTTCCTCAACCCTGGGACCCTTCCTTGGTTGTGGGGCTTTGAAGGGGGAGTGTGACAGTTTCTTTGTGCATCCTGACAGCCCCTGTGGGGGAGGGGTGTCTGGGTAGAAGAGATGGCTGGGCTTCATGCTTGAACCCTGAATCTATGAGCACCAGGAGACGTGGCGGGGGGCCCTTCAGCACTCAGACCTCCCTGCAACCCACTGTTCCCTTGGACAGTGTAATATTCCTGTGCCCTCTAAAGTTCTCAGAGCCTAACAGAACCCCAGCTAGTTGATGAAGCCAGTGTTGGCTTGGGCTGGAGGGAACTGAAAACTTAACTCTGGCACCGTCTGAAACATACCAAGAGCTGGAGAGTTTTTCCACGGGAAGCGGCTGAGTCATGTGCCAGGAAGTGGGACAGGAATATGGAGTGTTGGGGGTGTGAGGGTGGAGGTGAGCAGCCCAGGGCTGGGAGGAGGAGGAGGAGCAGGCCTGCCTCTGGGACATCAGCCCCGTCACCAGCTTTGGTTCTGCTTAGTGAGTGCAGGATCTGCCAGATAGTGGGCATCTCAAGGGGACTTCCCTCAGAGAAAGAACAACTCCCCAGCAATTCAGAAAACCAAGTCCCAGCGCAGGTATGGGAGCACCTGATTCCTCCACCCTTCCCGCCCCTCTGCAGCCCTGCCACTCAATATGTGCAGACACCAAGCTAGTGGTTTATACTGAGAAAAGCTTTATAAAAGGCCAAATATGTAAAAGAAGGCCGGTGGCATACGTTGTTACTGGAGGGCAGCTTTGCAGCTGTGCACCTGAGTCACATCCATCTGCAATTAGACACAAGTTAACCACACAAGGAGCCTGTTGGTGTCAGCGTCACCTGGCTATGCTGGCTGGGACCTCTCAGCCTTAGAGTCCCACCAGGAAGAAAAGAGCCCCGTGAATTCAGGCCCAATCCCAGGAAAGCATCACCCCCCTGCCCCGCCAAAGCTGACGGCCAGTGGCAGCAAGAGCGGAGGTTTCTGTTGGTCTGAACATCTTGCCGTCAGCTGACCACACAGGCCCTGGGTTTCCCCCCTACTCCAGGCCTCTCCCCTGGAGCGTGTTTCCAGGGGAGTTGTGATTTTCAATAAGAGCCCTTCCTGATGTTGAGCGGGCATTGGAGCAGGAGCCTTAGGAGGCGAGCGGGACCATCTCCATGTTGTCCGGGGCCATGCCATTTCCCACCAGGCCCTGGGCCCACTTGTGCAGGCGGCTGTAGAGGGGGAGCCCCTGGTTCTCCCGGTACAAGTAGATGCCGGTGATGGCGTTCCACTGGGGCCGTGGCTGGGTGCCCTCCACAGAGAACTTGGCAACCAGCTCCTCCTCCTCCTTGTTGAGCGCCACAAAGCCGAAGAAGCGGCGCACGTTGTTGGCGGCGAGCACCTGCGAGTGCATCTCTGCCGTGCGCTGGAACAGCCGGTCCTCATTGGCGCGGTACTGAGCCCAGTAGGCCTCCTGGCGGTAGCTGAGTGGTGAGCAGTAATGCTTGAAGCACTTGGTCAGGAACACCAGGATGGCCACCACGCCGATGAGCAGCCATCCAAAGAGCTGGCCAAAGAGTGGGCAGGGATAAGTGGGGGCAAGGGGCTGCCTGGGCCCCCACCCCACCCCAAGAAGAAGTGGAAGAAGCTAGTTAAGGGGATGGGCTGGACTGAACCTGGGCTTCAATGTCTCCTGGTCTCCAGGGAAGCTAGGCCCTTCTGGCTGGGACCCCCACCTTTCCTCACCCCTTTACCACCACCTCCAGAGCTGTCTCCAATCAGCCATCTGCATTTCCTGCCGCCAGTCTTTCAGCCCCAAGGGCCCTCCATCATCTCAACCCGGCAAAACAGCCCCCAGGATGCCTTCCACAGCCCCACTGGGTGTCAGCTTGCCTCTCCTGATTCCCCCTCGTCATGGTCACCATCTGCCCTCGGTTAGAGATCATCCCTGCCTGTCTTGTCTCCAGTGCTAGCCTGGCTGTGAACCTGTTGGGGGCAAGGAGAGTCAAGCCCATCTTTGGTTCCCCAGCTGGACACACATGGTCTGTGGGCAGGTGGTGAGCGACACGAAGTTTCCACGGTGCTGGGCCAGCCCTGTCTCTTCTCCCGTGTAGATCTGCTGCTGCCTGTCTCCCCCTCATGCTCTGCTTCACTAAGAACATGGTTGGTTCTGTGTCTCTGCTGCTAAGTTCTCTCCCACAGCTGGGCTTCAAAACGAGAGGCTGAATGAAGGCAGAATCAGAGTAGCAACTGTTTATATTTTTGAGAGAGAGGGGAGAGCAGAAGGAGGGAGAGAGGAGTAGCAACTGTTTCTTCCTGACTAGACCCCACTTCCTGGACAAGGGACCCCAACGTCAGCATGTCCTGAGGCTGCGCCCTTCCTGGGATACAACGTGTTCCACACATGGCTGATAGTGCATGTGTCTTAGGTGGCTCGAGGGCTCCGGGAAAGACCTAGATCTGCGACTGGGATCGTGACTCAGGCAGAGCCAGAGAGACTAGGTTGAAAACCATTGGGGTCTGGAATCGATTCATTCTCCAGGAAGCACTAACCCATGATCCCTGACCAGGAACATCCAGTCTCATTCTTTCCTGGAGGACCAGGCTGAGGAGGATCCAACTCGGGTGTTCACCCTGGGCTCCATCAGACCCCATGCAGGGAAGTGGGGAGGGGATGCCCACCCTGTACAGCTCCTTACCTGGGACTCGTACCGCAGCCTGCGGCTGACCTCCTCCTGGAAGACTGACAGGTTGGTTGGGCCCTCCCTGCAAGGGAATCTGGCCAAGATTTCAGGGGCATGTGCTGATGGGAAGCCCTCCTCCTGGGCTCTGAGGGAGGAGGGGTCCACAAACTCGCTGAGGGCACAGACGTAAGCTTCCCCGCGCAGCAGGGAGATGACTGACCAGGTGACAGGGGCCACAGCCGCACGGCCTAGGATGGAGCTCAGGAGCAGGAAGATGGGAGCAGCCGAGCAGTTCTTGGCCCTCCGGTGCTGGCACTCGGCAACGAGGTTCCACGTGTGGTTGTTGAGGATTACGCCGATGAGGAAGAGCGCCAGGGCGGGCACGCCGATGGCAGCCAGCCCATACAGGTAGTTCCGGGCTGGTGAGCAGGGGCAGTGGAAGGCCACCACGCTGAACAGCTCCTGGCTGCCCACCGTCCCCAGCGCCACCAGCCCATTAAAGATCATCACATCCTTGCTTTTGAAGAAGAGGGAGAGGAAGCGGAAGTTCTCTGCGATCAGGGCTGCCATGGTGGAGGCGGGAGATGGGTGCTGGCTCCTGGTGGGACTAGGAGGGTATGCGGGCCAGTGGGCACCTGAAGGCCGGGCGCAGTCTTGCCATGTTATCTACAGCGGCTGGCTTGGGAGCGAGCTTCCTGAGGAAGAACAGATGCTGGGTGAAGGTTTGCCATTGAAAATGGAGATCTAGGAGGAGGCTTATGTGACTAGGCTGGTGAGAAAGAGCTGGGGGTCAGAGAGAGATCATGGTGCTCACTCCTGTGCATTGAGAAGGACATCACGTTTGGTAAAGTAGAGGAAGACCCTCAACGAGAAACTCAAAAGACTGTGAGGATGGCCCAGGGCCTGGCAGTATTGCTATACACGGTGCACAGAGCCGTAGTGAGAACCAATGAGACGGCCCCTAACAACCACCACCACCATTCCTTGAGGTAGCCCTGGTGGTGGGGTAGTTAAACCCTTGGCTCTTGGTTAGCTGTGCGACCCAAAGGTTGATTATTCACAGCCACCAGTCCCTCCACGGGAGAAAGATGTGACAGGCCGCTTCTGTGAAGATGCATAGCCTGGCCCTCACAGGGTCGTCACGAGTCAGCCTCGGCTTGAGAACAGTGTTGCTTTCCTGCTCATTGCCATCAGCCCCGGTCACTGTTGTACTGCGGTGTCGTGATGCTCGGAGCTCTGTTGCTGGTATTTCAAATGCCATCAGGGTCACCCACAGTGGATGACAGGTGCTCGCAGAGCTAAGCTTACTGACTTCTAGGAAGAAGGACCTAGCGAGTCTCCTTAGAAAATTAGCTCATGAAAACCCCAAGGATCATAAGAGAGCATTTGCTACCGCAGTGCTGGGAGATGAACCCCCTAGGTTGGCAGGCACAGTGACTTGGAGCGTGTGATCATGGAGATGTCCCAGACCCAGCCAACCTCTCATCCTATCGTCCATAGGGTTGCCAGGGGTCGGAACCGACCTCCTGGTCGTTCACAACAATGGCATCGCTTACCCTCACAACCCCTGTGAGATGCCTGTGTTCCTGTCCCCACTGGACACAAGGGGAGGCTCACTGAAGGTGTGTGACTTTCCAAGGTCACACATAAGTGACCGGGCTGGGATTCAAGGCCAGCCACTAGCCGCTGCTCTAGGGTAAGGTGACCAGACGTCCGGCTTTTTGGCATTTTTTAAAAGTCCCAATTTTTGGAAAGAATGCATGACAAGCTAGGGGATGGTCTATTTGGTCCATGTAGACAAAATTTTTAATCAAGAGCACCTCCCCCTCCACCCCCGGTCAACGGTGTCCCGCTTTAAATCTGGTCACCTTACTCTAGGGGTAGGGGCTGGGAATGGCCCTATGATGTTGGGGGATGAGGGTTGGTGACAAGCGTCCCCGCTGGCATTCCAAGCAGTGCTGATGTGCCGAGGGGCCTGGGGGAACGTATCTCCAGGACTTCTAATGCTGTGGATGTAAAGGCTGCAGGGGATGCAGTGCTGGATAAGGGACTTGGACTTCGTCCTGTGTTGGGGAATGGGGCAGAAGTAGGGCCTCCAATCAACAGGGAGTCAGACCGGGAAGACTAGCATCCCTGGAGTTCTTCGCCTTTTGTTTCATTTTGGAAACATTAGGCTCTGAGGCTCTCTACTGGGTTAGAAGATGCTGGCTTTCGACTTATGTCACGACTTATCTGGGCCTCAGTTTCTCCAACTGTGAAGAGATGAGGAACCATTCTGGTCCTTGCTCTCTGAGGGATGTTGGGAGGGCAAAGCAAGCGAACAAATCTGGTGTGCGAAAACCTCAAGATAAGGGCCTGCTCCTTATCTTGTGTGCGAAAACCTCATCTCTCTCAACCTGCTGGGTCTTCACCGTGGCTCCTGGACGTGACAGCCTGCGGAAGTGCCTTGCAGATGCCCAGATAGGATTTCTGTCCAGGCTCTAAAATAGCTTTGGGACTTGAGAAGGGTGAGCCTGCGGACAGGCTGGAGACAGGCCTCCATCTTTCCTGTCCCGCCCTGCACTTGGCCTGCCTGCCCCAGGAGTGGGCAAGCCCCGGGCGTGCCTTCTTCTTTCCCGTCCAGCAAGCCCCACAGCAGACCCTCTTGCGAAGGGGACAGGCAGCCTGGGTGAAAGAAGGCTTGTCTGCCTTAGTCAAGGCTGCAGGGGTGCTGGCCACCCACCAGGAAGTAAGTAGTCATGGACTCCCCGCTGCAGAGAGGTCCTGCCCAGCGCTTCCCCTGGCTCCACCCTTACAGGCCCAGAGACAGCCCTGGGTGTGGCCCCACACCCTCCTCCCCATCTCAGCGATGGAAAACAAAGATCCCCAGGCCAGAAGCTGGGGCAAGGAGGGCTGGGCAGGGAATCCTGCCCATGTTCCCGTCTGTGCCCTTCTCATCACCACCGGCTGCGTGTGTCTGTCAGGATGGGCACACAGGGCACCAGGGGGTGGGAGGGCCTTCTGACTGCCCCCAAACCCGCTTTGGGAAAGGAGTCCGTCTTTTTGGGGGGAGGGATGGGGATAAACGCAGCTTCACTGCCCCTGCCTCACGGTCGTCCCCTGGTTCCAACGCTCCTGATAAGCCCCCGGTGGGGGTCCCGGGTTCACAAGTCCACCCACGATTGGGGCGGTGCCTGCACCGGGAGTGGTGGCAAGCAGGCTCGGGGTCGGGGCGGTGCTCAGCCCCGGGCCTCTCTCCCAGGATGGTGTATCTGGGCAGCTCTGAACCATCTTGCTCCCCTGGTACCTGGCTGCTTGAGGCAGGGACCCTGCCTTACCTGGGCCGGCTTCAGACAACTGTGGCCTGGGTCTCCCCGGCGCCGGGCCCTCCGCTTTCTAGGCGTGGTCGTCCGGGGCCGCCCCGCTCTCGGCCCGAGCCGATCCCGTGCCGCGCGCCTCCTCCCGCCGTGGCTCGGCCTTCCAGTACCGGAACTCCGGGAGCCCAGCAGGCCGGGGCTGGCGGCGTCTTCAGAAAAAGTTTTAACTCCAGAAAAGAGAGAAGGAAACGGGGTGGACCACGCGGCAGCGGGTGGAACGGGAGCCACGGCGCGCCTGGAGGCGGCGGCGCGAACGGGCGCCGGAGGAAGTGCAGGCACTGGCTGCTCCCTGTCCCGCTGCTGGGCCTGGGGGGTGGGGGCGTGCACTGACCCTCCCCTCGGCCCTGCCCCACTGGGCCTGGGACCAGCTGGGCGGGGTCGTGGCTCGGCAGGGCCCAGGCAGCCAGACCTTCAGGGAGCTCTGGTCTCAGGCCTGCTTTCAGAACCAGTTTCAAGAACACCTACATCTGAACCGCCATCAGGCAGAAGTTTCCAGAAGGGGAGCCAGTGGTGTCAAGGAGGAGTGCCATCAAACTCACACCCCCCTTGCAGGTCACTTAACCCTGGAGAGTCCCCAGCCTTTTCCCTCAGAGACAGGCTGGACAAGCCCTCTCCCTGCAGCCCTTCTGTCCCTGGTTAGGCCAGCTCCCTCAGACAGCGCCCACCCCTGCAGGACTGACAGGGAGGTCCTGAGGGCAATGGTCAGTGGAAATGACAAAGCTGGTTTTATGAAGGAAGCTCTTTGTAAGGTGGTCGTGAGCTTCCCGTTTGCAGGAGTGTGCGAGTGAGGCTGACGAGTTGGGTCAGCATGCTAAAGATGAGGGGCCTGGCAAGGTGACCCCCCCAGGATCAGGCGAGATGACCCCCATCCCAGCCATAGTTAGCACTCCAGATTCTCCCCCCAAACGTAGCTCCTTTCATCCGCACTAGAATCCCGACAAGCAAGTGTTCCCATATACATTTTATAGATTGACAAACTGAGGCTTGAAAGAGTGGGGGCTCTTTGCCTTGGGACGGAGAGTTCTTGTTAGTATGTGAACCTAGGCCAGCCTGACCCACAGCATGGCTCTTTCCTTCACACCTGTACCTCCCGCTTCTTCCCCACCCATCCCAACCAACACATGCCTGGCCTTCATGGAATCCTTCCCTTACAGGGACCCACATTCAGCTCAACCTGCGTGAGGCAGGGGAGCCCTTGCAACCCACCGACCAGGAACGTCTTCCTCCCAGATGACTCACAGGAGGGACAGTGGCTCTCGGAGTGGGAGGAGAGGGTGGGATGGGAATCAGGCAGTGTTGGAGGGACCTAGACCAAGGGATCTTTGGGTGGGTGGAACTTGTGTCTCAAGCTAGCCGAGGAGATGAACGATCTACATGGCCCTCAATTTCTTCTTCTTGAACAAAGAGGGTTCAAGTGGCTTCTGTTGGTCTGTTCTCCACCTCTGCCCCAGGGAGGAGGGATGGCCTCAAGTTCCAGAAATCAGCGAAGCCCCCAGGCCCTGCATGCCTCCCATGTGCCACGTGCCTTCCCGGGCTTCATGCTCACCACAACCCCAGGAGGTAGGCGCCGGCATCCCCATTTCACGGAGGAGGTAGCAGAGGCCCAGAAGACGTACCACCTCTTTACAGGCTGTACGTGGTCGAGCCAGCATTTGGCCGAGGTCTGTCTCCCTGTGCTGTTTCTGCTCCGCGCAGCTCCCTTCCTGTCCATCCCCCCACCCTCACCACGACTTCAGGAGAGCTGCCGTTCGAGAAAATGAGGCATTAGCTTCTCTTTCTGGCTGTTCAAGCCCTAGGAGTGGTCTGATTTCCCTCTGCGACAACTATTTAGTTGTGAGGAGTCACCAGGGTGGTCTTCAACTTTTCCTCACTCCAACTTTTCATCTGGGGGCGGGGCCTTTTGTTCTTGGTGCCAAATCAATGTGCAGCCCAACCCCAACAGTCATCAAGCGACCTGGTGGTCCTAGACCACAGCACCTGATCCCCCTCACCAGTCACTCCAGATAGTCCCTCCAGGGAGGCTGTGTGCTGTATCCTGATAGCTCACCCGAGGTCTACCCTGCTCAGCTTCACTTGGGACACTCTGGCCCAAAGCAGAGGGCCCCTGCATCAGTTATGCAAAGGTTGGAAGCTCTTCTGCTCCCTGATTCACGAGCACAGGGGCTAAGTGCCTAAAAAAAAATCACAGACAAGAGGGGTCTGGGGTAGGGGCCCACCCCAGACCTGCGTGGAGATGGTGAACCAGAGACCCTTAGAAGGGGCCTGACAAAGGACATTTGGGTGTGAACCATCTCTCCCCAGAGGGGCCCTACCCTTTCTGGCTAACACTGCTCTTGGTCTCCCTGCCCCTGGGCCACACAGGGTCACGTCACAGCACCTGCTTCCCAGTGGCCTGCCTCTGGGTCTGGTGGGTCTGCTCCAGAGGCTGACTGCCCAGTACCTACGGCCTTCATTTGACTATGTACTTTGGGGATCTGAGAGGCTGTGAATTCAGACCATGGTTCCTGCCTCTTCAGCTGACTGCAGCTCACACTTTGCTGAAGTAGGCAGCCACCTCTTTGCGGGGGACCCGGGGCCCACCACCCACCCAGCCATTTCCCATCAGCGGCTCCTCCTGGCCCAGACGTAGCGGCGGCTTGCATTGGTGCCAGCTGGTGAGCAGCTTGTTCACGGCGCTCTGGTCGGTGATCCCTCGCAGCTTCTCTTTCTCTTCCCCAGTGCTGTCGCTGGGGGCTGGGGCAGCAGGGCCTGTGGCCAGCACCGCATGGCTGTGACCCAGCTCTAGGTCCTGGTTCATGGCCTCGAAGAACTGCTGGATGCAGACCTTGGCGAAGGCCTTGGCGTGTTCTGTGCATGTCTCATCGAAGAGCTTGCGCTCGATGTCAATGTAGTGGGACCAGTACTTGCTCTTGAGGAAGGCAGCCTGCGTGAAGCAGGGCCGTACAGAGCGAACAACGAAGGCCAGCAGTGTGGTCAGCAGCACAAAGGACCAGCCCAGTGCCTGCAGAGGAGAGCAGAGAGTTGGCCAGGCCAGACACCCGCCCCCCCAGCCAGCCCCCGGATACTGTGTCAGGGTCCTTAGGAAAAGGAGATCTGGCTGGGCAAGTGACTCCCCGTCTTGGCCTCTATTCCTTTACCTGTAAAATGGGTGTAGATGTGCCCACAGGGTGCAGAGGAGATTCTGTATGTAACACACCTGGCAAGGTAGGCCTGGTGCTCTGTGGGCAGATTCTAGAGTTAGGCTCCCTGGGTTTGAATCCCATCTCCACTACTAACCAATTGATCAGGAGCAAGAGAACAGACTCCTCCATGCCTCGGTTTCCCCACCTGTAAAATGGGGCTTTTGGATTCAGAGTGATGGTCCCCTTAGCATGGTGCCTGGTTTAAAGCTAGTGCTCTGACACGCTGCTTCCTTCGGGAAGCCTTCCTTGCCCTCCCCTGGCCCTGGGGACCCTCCCTCTGCCTCTAGCCTTCCTTTGGAAGCTGGTGCTGCCTGCCTCCACTCTCCACTCACTGAGAGCCCCTTCTGTGCTGAGCATGGAGCTGAACCTCAGGGGTCAAGCGCTCAAACTTGGTGCTGAAGACATGGCCGACCAGGAGGGTTCTAGCTCTGCCAGTGACCCTGGCTGAGCTCCAGGGTCAAGCCCCCGTCTGCACAGGAAGGCATTGGCCAGATCAGGATGGGAGTCGGGGTGAGGGGACAGACAGGTGATGACAGGGCAGGTTTCGGCGGGGAGCTGTGTACATATGCTTCCTCTGTGGAGGGCACCACCCTATGACCCAACGTGGGCACGGTGGCGCCAGACCTTCCGACCTTGCAGGGTAAGCTGGAGATCTGATTTTCATGGGACGTGGTCTGGGTTTGGGAATTCTGAAGTTTGACATCACTCAAGGCCCAAATGAAATGTGTCTGTGGGCAGCCTGCAATTGCAGGGGGCTGTTTGGAGGGGCACTTGATGTCAGGTTGGGTGGAGAGCCCATCGCCCAAGTGCCCGCAGGAGAGGAGGTGCAGGCTGGGAGAAGCAGGGGCCACGGTGTGTGTCCCCAGGGTGCACCTGGAGGGCAATGAAGATCCGGTGGGAGAGAGGGGGGTGCCAGAGCAGAGTGTCCACTTGTCTCTAGGCCTCGGAGGGCAGCCCCAGGCCCTTGCCCTCCTCCCTGACAGCCCCTGGTCCTTTGGTGCACAAGCATGTCACCCAGGCTGTCCTCCTGCAGGTTGAAGTCTGAAGGGGAAGCTAGAGAGGTTCAGACTAAGGCGGGCCCAGGGGCCACCAGGGAGGCGGTGTGGGGCTGGGAGACCTGGGGTCTCGACTAGAAAACATGTGGCTTTGAGCACAATGCCTTCACTCCCGCCTGGATCCTCAGCGCCCACTCCCCAAGTCCGGACCCTCTGGCTGGAGCTATTTGCCAGGGAAATGTACCCAAATGCCTTTGTTCTCCTCTGGCCTCACTGCTGCCTACGCCTGGAAGAGGGAAAGGATGCAAATCCCCCAGGCTTCCCAGCTGGGCGCTCAGAGGAGAGGCCTCAGGACTGGGGACAGGCCTGCTCTCCGGAAGCCTCTGGCCCAAGGGAAGACACCTGTTGGGCCTTGGAAAGCTATGCCTGAGATGGGAAAACATGCCCAGCCCAGTGGGGCTCCCTGGGTTAGGGGGGGTGGGAGACTCAGTGCTGTCTGGGGACTCCAGTCTGAGGGGGGAATATGACTGCCCTGAGGATGCCCCATTCTGAGGTGTGGGGGAGGGAACCCCAGCCCCAGGCTGCCCAGCCTGCTCACCTGGGAGATGCAGCGCAGGTAGCGCACGGCCACCTCTCGGGCCAGCAGCCAGTCGCCATCGTAGATCTCAGGGCAGGGCACCCGGGCCAGGAGCCGGGCAAGCTCGGGGGGAGCTAGGCCGGGCACCACGCTGCTGTTGCCCAGCGTGGCCACGGGCACGGCTGTGCAGAAGGCGCAGAGGAAGCACTTGCCATCTAGCAGTGTGACGGCCACCCAGACAACGGGCGCGATGAGGGCGCGCTGGGCCATGGAGCAGAACATGTAGCGCAGCACGGCGGGGTCCTTGGCCCGTCGGCCCGGCGGGCGCTTCCACTCCTCGGCCAGCATGGACACGTTGTTGTTCAGGACCAGGCCGAGCAGGAAGAGCAACAGGGGGGGCGCCAACAGGATGCCGGCGCTGTAGGCTGCGTTGTAGCCCGGCAGGCAGGGGCAGTTGAAGTCAAAGGCCGAGTACATCTGGGCGCTGGCCAGAGCCAGGATGCCGCAGATGCCGTTCATGAAGGACTCCTGGTTGGATTGCAGGAACTGGAAGATCATCCGGAACTTGTCCATGGTGCCCCCCCGCGGGGCCCTCGGGCCTCCTCCCGCCTCACCTCTGCCTCGCAGACGGCTCCTGCAGCCCACCCTGCCCACTGGGCGCCCACCTCATGGCTTAGGGCCTTTCTTGGCTGAGATGGGCAGGGCTCAGGGCAGTGGTTGAGGTCACCGTCCCTTTGGAGTCAGGTGCTGGCCCAGAGGGTGCATGTTGGCCAATCCTGTGGTGGCAGCCAGAGTTCTGATCCTCCCCTTCTCACCCCTCCCAGCCGCACTCTCTCCAGGGCCACCCCTGGCAGTGAGAAACCACAGAGCTGTCCTTGACGGGGTGTGGGAGGACGAGGGCAGGCCCCCTCACTTCGGGAAGACCGTTTCCTGCAGGGCTGGAGTCTGGAGAATCCGAGGAGGCTGCAGAAGTCTGAGCTCCTGGCCCTAAACCTCTGGGCTCCTGCAAAGCACCTCACCCTTCATCTGTCTGCCCGCCCTTGCTGGGTCAGGATCCGAGAGGGTTCCTCCTTCTGGCCAGACACAGGGTATGATGATGCCTGCCGGCTGGGATGGGAGTGTCTGTAATGCAGGTGGTGACAGGGGTGGTGGGGATGGTGATAGCGGTGGTGCAGAGCCAAGTGATGTCAATGGAGGGGGTGACGAAAGTCAGGGCGGTGATGATGAAGTTGATGGTGATAGTGGTGCTGAGGATGGTGGGGATATCGGGCATGATGGTCATAAACCAACCAAACCAAACCAGCGCCGCCCCCCCTCGCCACCCCCAGTTGATTCCAACAGGTGGAGGGTTTCTTGGACAGCCTCATTGAGAGGCGGAACGGAGGCACAGAACACAGATAGAATTTAGCCAGGAATGTGAAGTTGAGAACGATTTTATTGAGGTAGGGAAAGACCTCCCGGGAGGGAAGGGAGAGCAGAGAAAGTGAGGGAGCATCTTGAGCTCCCGGGCGGGTTCTGCGACCCAGTCGTGCCTGGTGCTAGGGTGGCAGGACATATGTATGATATGGGCTTAAAGGTATATGGGCCGATAAGGGGAAGGGAGGTTCTTTGTGCTGCAGTTGGCAAGTTTCAGGTCAGGAGATGTCTTGTCAGTAAATCACCTTGTTCTCAGTCAACTTGCTTCTGGGAACACTGGGAGAGGAGGCTGTGTTCTGCCCAGGAGGTAAGCTTTGCAAAATGCTGGAGGCAGGTGCTTTGAAGTTCAGCAGGTCATTTGTCTTCTTGAGAGGCTGGTGCAGGGGCTGCCTGGTCCGGACCTGGCCCAAACACTCATCCTGCCCCTGCTGAGCAGCTGGTGAGTTTGAACCGCTGCCCTGGTGGTTGTTAGCTCAATACCTCACCCAAAGTGACACCAGGGCTCCCGTGGCAGGGATATTCATAATGGGGGTGGGGTGGGAGGTGACGCCGGTAGGGTGACCAGTGGAGGAGAAAGCCCCGCATTGGAGTTGAGAGGTGATCAGGCCCCCTCCCTAAAGGGCCAGGAGCAGAAACCTGTGATACTCCAGTGGCACAGCGGGTTAAGCCCTTGGCTGCTAACGGAAAGGTCAGTGATTCCAACTCACTGGTCACTGTGGGCGAGGATGTGGCCATCTGTCTCTCTAAAGATGACGGCTTTGCCGACCTCTCGGGGCAGTTCTGCTCCGCTCTAGAGGGGTCGCTATGAGTCAGAAGGGGCTAGACAGAAGTGGGTTTTGTGGGTCTGTGCGCTTGTGGATGGTGGGGGTCCTGGCCTCTCCTCCTGCTTCCCACCTCCCAGGTTATTTAAGAAAGGGAACCTCTAGGTGTGGGGTTGCTGGCCTGGAGCTCGGGGCTCCAGAGGGGTGGGAAGACACCTCCAGGACTGACACACCAGAGTGGGAGGGGTTTACAGGGCTGCCCTTGCCGCCTGGGCAGCTCTTTCAGCAGGTGGGGCGGGTCCAGTGCCATCTGGATGACTCCTGTGGGGTGAGGGGCGGGGCTGAGGCAAAGCCCAGACAGGATGTCTCCATGGTGCGTGACCCTGTGTGTCCTGTGTGTGCTCCGACGTGCCAGCTGGCGGTGGCTCCAGGCCTCTGTGGGTCTGCGTGTGTCTGTCTGCGTGACTCTGCGTGGCCGACGAGAGCTGGCATCTGCAGAGGCACCCCTGTGCCAGGCTTTTTTCAGGTCTCTCTGCTGTCACCCTCAGACAGCCCTGTGAGAGGTGCTGCTCCCGTTTCACAGAGGTGGGGGACCCGGGTGCAGAGAGGGTAAGTGAGTAGTTTGCTGGGGGAGGAGGAAGGGAGTTTGAACCCAGTCCCGCCCTCCACTGAGGGACCGACGATCGGACGAAAGGGGCAGAAAATGGGTTTTGGCGTTTCGCTCCCAGACGACTCTGGTTCTCATTTTGGGCAGAAACTCCCGGTGACCTAAATAGGACACGGGTGGGAAGGAGACCTCAGGCTGGGCCTGGGGCAATTGGAGTTGTCAGGCTGGCAGCTCCTGGACGGTTCTGTCAGGGATGCTGGTTCTGGCGGACAACGCAGGTGGAGAACAGGATGAGGAAGACTCGGCCAATGGAGGGTCTCGCTGGACCGCCACATCAATACCTGCCCGACAAGGGTTCTGAGCTGCCTTCCACGGTCACTCCTCCACCTCGGCCCCTCAAGGTGGGGTGCTGCAGGGAGCCACCTGGAGTCTCTGTCTTAGGTCCCAGACACGTCTCCCCACGTGTGTCTGACGTGTGTTTTTCCTAGCCACACGTTGGCTGCAGGGTGCCCGCTCTAACCAGACATGCCTGCCCTGCACCTTCTAATGTCAAGGTTGTTTGAAAAGGCTTGAGTTACACACTTTTGGATGGATCCGAAACCCACTACTTTTGTGACCACAAGGATCTGGTGCTGTTGGTTGTGGAGAGTCCAGAGGCATGCTAGAAGTCTTTTTAAAATAATTATTTTGTCGGGGACTCGTACAACTCATCACAATCATCCATTGCTAGACGTCATGAAATATCACCCAAGCTGCTGGACACTCTTGCGCGGTGGCAGACATTCCGGTGAGCACTTCCTTGGGCAGAGGCTTCAAAGATTTGAAGAGAGCAGCACCAGGGGGTCTTGAATAGGTTCGTGTTACACATCACGTCTGCTATTAAAAGAGTTGTGTTAAAAATAAAACTATAAAAGAGTTGTGTTTGCCAAAGCAAGCTCAAGGTTCTTATGTTGAAAACTCCGGACAGCTTCTTCGGATGCTTAATGTAAATTCCGAGTGTGGGTCTCCTAGCGCTGATGTCATAATCCACCACCACTTTGGGGGCTCAGACCAACAGGCATGGCATCCCTCCCGGTGCTGGAGAGCATCTGCAGAGCCGTGCTCTCTCAGAAGGCTCTGGGGAAGGTCCTTCCTCCTCTCTCCCGGCTTCTGTAGTCCCTGATGTTCCTCAGCCTTGTGGGGACCACGTCTATGCTCCTCCAGCTTCGCCAAGGGGAGGGAGGAGAATCATCAGTCCAAGGTCGAGTCCTGTGAAGTGGAGGTCAGGCACGCCTCTACCCTCCAACCTCTTGACCCGATTCTGAGGCCAGCTCTCCCTCCTGTGGCACTCTACCTCTCTGCTGGCCACACAGAGAAGAACTCACAGGCCGTCCTCACGATGAGGGGGTTCAGGGGGTTCACGACAGAAGTTAATAGGTTACAGTTCAGGATCAGATGTGGTCAGGATACAGCAGTTCTCCGGCCAGGACAGCCTCTTCTCAGCAGTGCCTGGGATCTTTGTCCCTCAGCACATGGCCGGTTGGCCTCTGCCCTCCATTAGCTTGGAGGAATGCCCAAGGTCGCCACACTCTACGAGCCAGCCTCCTGCTCAGAAGCACTCCACGTTACTCGCTCCATGAGTTAGGAAGCCTTGGCTCTGTCTCAAGTGCTCTGTGCGGCTGCCTCTGCTGCCACCTCGCTCCTACCGCTTCTCTGCCGAGGGATCTCTGGGTCCAAAGGATGCACTCCACCCTTCTTTCTTGATGGTCCTGCTTCTGAGAAGGCGCGCTTTATGGCCAGCGGGATGGCAAAACTGACCAATCTCTGTAGTAGAGTCCCACATGCCTTATTTGCATGCCGCTAACCAATCGCCCAGCAGGTGCTAGAAAGGCGATGGTTAGAAGGGCCAGTTGTCAGTGACTCACTGCATTGCCCAACCCCACCCTCTGCCTCAGTCAGCACGGGGCGTTAGTTCTTCTGCTGCGGTCTGACTCTGTCTCTCCTCTTTCTTTCTTTTTTTCTTCTAAAATCATTTTATTGGGGACTTCTACAACTCTTATCACAATCCATCCATCCATTGTGTCAAGCACATTTGTACATTTGTTGCCCACATCATTCTCAAAACATTTGCTTTCTACTTGAGCCC